TATGTACTAAATTTTTGATAAATATACACTTGGAGTTAGTTAACAACAAATAACAGGCTCCTTGTCTTCTCATAAAGCAGGACACACACATTTCGACTGATGACTTCCGAGCCAGTTATGAATGAATGATGAATGAATGATATTTGGCTGTGATGATTGATGGGACTAAGTTAATCTGAGTCTGATCTAGGGCTGCTTGATTATGGAAAAAATCATAATCACGATTATTTTGGTCAAAATTGAAATCACGATTATGCAAACGATTATGCGGTGCATGGGATGACTTACATTGTTTACACTACAGCATGTCATTTCTGTCTCTACATGGTCGCACGTTTACAAATCTCTTCTGCTCTCTGCATCGCGCACGGTGGAGTTCCGCCCCGATGTGCACACACAAACACAGACACGTGCACACGCACACACACCACACACACAGACAAACCTCTCTCGCTCTCCCTCTGCCATTTTCCGCACACTGTTTTCGAAATCTTCCGCAATCACCTGCCCCTCGCATTATTCATAGTTCACCTACTTGACTGGCTCGTGGAGTGAGGAGAGGAGAGGAGGGGAGGGGGCGGTATTGTGCATGCATGGCTTCCGTAGAAGACAAAATAATATCTCCAGGCGTCCATGATCAAAATCGTTGACCCGCGATTTCATTCATTTTGAGATCGTTGGACCTCAAAATCGTAACCGCAATCACCAGACGATTAATGCAGAGCCATAGTCTGATCCATCTGCTGGGTAAATAAGTGTCTACCTGAGCACAAGGTCAGGAAAGAACTGTCGCTTGTCAACCCTCTGTTAGTGACAGAAGAGATAATATTTTTATTTCAGCTGGGCATTTTTCAAATAGAGAAAAAAAAAAAAATTTAACTGATCATATATTTTATGTGTAAAATTGATAAGAAAAGTAACCATAGCTGTGAATTAAAAGAAGTAAAAAGTACTATCTTTCTTTCTGAAATATTGTGTATGTAAGAGTGGAGGTATAAATTAACAGAAAATGAGAATACTTAAAGTACAAGTACCTTTAAACTGTCCTAAAGTACTTCAGTAAATATACCAAGTTACTTTGCACCACTGCTCTCTGCTACTAAATCACTTTTTGTCTGAAGCTAGTTATTGGATTAGTATTGCATTTTTGTTCAGATCCTGAACCCTTACTTCAGCAAGACAATTTTTTCCTGCTTATCATAACAAATCATTTGGCAATATTTTGCTGTTAATGCATAATGTAACGGTCACAAACAGTAACTTGGGTGTTGCTGCTGCCGAGTTAAGAGATGAGCAGTGACGATGTAGCTGTAATACAGTGCGTAATACAGTGACGGTGTTCTGCTTTTCACTTTTAGTTGAAACTTATCAGTTTCAACAGTGACAAATCTTGACTCATAAAGTTCACTTTTTGTAACAGCAGTGACCTGGGGTCATCTGGACACTATATTGGATCTTTATACATGAAGCACCAAAGCTTAGGCCTGAGTGACTGGGAGTGACAGGCGCCTTGATGAAGCAACGGTGCAAAACACTAAGTGAATGTTTTATGTCATGAGTGACAAATATTTTTGGTTCATCATGATACAGTGGCAGGAAAAATTAGAGGAGGTAACTGATGGAAAACACTGCGCCAGAAGAGCCTATACATATCTTTGCCGACTACAAGACTTAAAATTTCCATGAATCATTGAAGCAGCGGCACATTTGTGATGCGTGTGCAATTGTAGCCCCCAACACTTTCCTGTGTGTGGGCTGCTTATCGCAGTGCTTCCTGTCATTCACTGGCCGACCTTTGTCTCGTGTTTGCAGGTTACTGGGAGGAGGAGCACTCGTACAGCCGGAGGAGCTGGAACCGCTACCAGAGGGAAGTGCTGCATGAGCTGGGCTGCCATGGTGAAGATGACAATGAGGAGGATGATGATGATGATGGAGACAAATATAATTCCGATTGATCTATCCCTTAACCCCACACCTGTCAGTGGATCTTCCCATTGCTCTCTCCACTAATAACACCGTACTCCATTGACCTCTGTGTAGATGAGAGCAGAAGGAAACAATAATGGCACATGAGAGAAACCTGAAAAATAGATCCCATGTTTAAGTGTAGCAATTAATGTGTAGCACTCATCAGATTTGACAAAGTTAAATTGACTCAGAAGATCATGTTCTTAAGTGAACACCACTAACTATACCCTGCATGTTAAAACAAATTCCATTTTATGTGCCAATGCAAAAAAAAAAAGGTCACAGAGCACGTCAGCCACTAATGGTTGAGAAAACTGCAAACATACCATCTCTCAGTATACATGTTCTTATGATGAGATCCATCAGTCTCTGCTACACAGAAGGTGAAGGAGTAGGCGTTACTTCCAGAAGGATCCAGAGTGTCTTTTTTTTTTTTTTTTTAAACTGTGGTGGAGTGAATTTGTGTGTGGGTGTTTGTTCAATGTGGATGTGTGTTTAAAAATGTTGCACATTAGTGTGATATGCCTTGTATGCTTTGTGCTGTTAACACTTCTGTTAGTGAGACGTCTCGGGCCGCGCGTGGTTGCAATTTAGGATGCATTCTGTGCATGGTAGTGTGTGTAGGTACAACTGTGTGTGTTAGATTTTTTGCATAATGTGAAAGTGTGATGCATACGTTTTGTTGTGGGTGTGCAAGTTCAGTTCAGAAATTCCCTTTGAAGTTCAGATTGTTTCTCTTGGATGCTTGTTGAATTTAAATTTTTTTGTAAATATGTAGATGTGTATAAAAAGAAAGCTTTCAAAATAAACTTGAAACATCTCAGTGTCAATTTGTCCAGCATGGTGAACGCAAAGATCAGTCCCAGCTGGTCTGAAATTTTCAGTGATGCATCAAGTGTTTTAGGCGTAGGAGGAAAATCTGAAAAGCTTCGCTCTGACAAGTGAGGAGTTCAAAGCACATAGAGCATTTTAGGCCAAACATGAAGCACATCAAGAAAAGGGCTGGGATATGGATGCTTGACTGAAATTATATTTTAATAGACACTGTTCTGGATGCTTGTTTATCTGCACTGTAGTTAATGAGTAATTGTGCACTGTCAGTGAACGTCCCCTAAAATGTTTTAACAGGTAAAGATTGTTGTGTCTGACAACATTATGGAAAGGACCCCACAGAGATAAGGAGTTCATTTGTTAAAGACTAAGATCCTTTTTTCCCCCAACTAAACAGCCCCAAAATTTACACCGCCAAACCCACCACCACATAATTAGTAATTTTATAATCACGAAACAAACTTCATTCAAAGTCTACAGAAACAAAATAAAACCCACTAAAACCATCTTGGTTTGTCTTTCCACTCTCCCAACAACCACCAACTCTGGTTTGTTTGAAATAAACTCCTAATTCACTCTGTTACACATGAAAAATATGCTGATTCTGTACATGCTAAAATTACTGCTGATTTAAATGGAGTCTGGTGGGTTTAGCAATAGTGATTTCTGGGGCTGTTTGTGGTTAAATAAAAATGATTTTACCCTTTCACAAAAAGGTCTGTCTGTAGGAATCATTTCCACAATGTTCTCAGATACTTAGAATAACAATCTGAGCCTGTCAGTGATAAAAATAATATTTTAGTAGATATAAATGGACGTTGCAAAAATGCATGACGTGGTTACATTGCTGCTGGCTGCAGCACTCTTGCTCAGTACTGGACCAATTAAAAAATTGCTGTCTCCAATATTAACAAAACATGGTTAAAAGGTTCCAGGTTTGAAAACACTTAAGTTGCACTGTAATGGCACCAGATGAAACGCTACATTGAAACCAAGAGGTGCCATTTAAAGTTAAATGTAATTTTACCAGTTAAGTGAATATGGCCTTCAATCCTGTGCATATTGACCTTATAACACCATACAAATGACATGTTATTTAGAAATTATATTTAATATAAATTGATTTTTTTGCCACACAATTTAAGTCAAACAAAGAACAGGACAGCTTCCTATACTGCTGGACAGAGTGGATTCAGCAGACAGTTAACCCACCTCAGCCACCAAATGGAAAAAACCCTAATACTTTATTTCAACATACAATACTTAAAATGCCAAAAATAAACCAACCGACCAGACAACAACACCAAAAGTACATAAAGGCAATAACATTAGGACGATGTCTCAAAGTCTTCACATAGCAGCAGACAAACAAAATCTTCCCTTTTTCATTCCAGAAGTGTAAAACAGATAAGTCATGATTTGTCTTTTAATTCTCAGGTGACATTTAGCACATTCACACATACTGCACATAGTATCTTTCAGTTAAAATAGTTTAAATCCATATAATAAAATGTACTATTATAAAGGTCCCTGTGGTCATTTGCAACACCTGTAAAATCTCTCGGCACATACTGTTATGAAGGCATTTAAAGGGGAACACCACCTAAATGATGAATTCCAACATATTTCCATGGAAAGTTTAAGCAATATTTGCTAACATGATTTACTCTCTCTGAAAGCCAGACATCAGAGAAGCAAGTCTCAACCTTGTGATGCCATCAAGCATAAAGTCTGGAGCTGTTCTATAAACAACAACTTTATTCTCATGTAGTAATCTCAGTGCTGAAACAGAAAATGTACCCATATACTCCCAACAGACCCCTGGATAATCTCAGTGGCATCTAGGACATCTTTACCAGTTCACTGTCTATGGAGCAGCTCCAGACTTTATACCCTATGACATCACACATTTGAGTTTTAGCACTCTAGTTTTTGGAATTGGTAGAGAGCCCTTCTGTGCGGAGTTTGCATGTTCTTCCCTGTGTCAGCGTGGGTTTTCTCCGGGTACATCGGCTTCCTCCCACAGTCCAAAGACATGCAGGTTAATTGGTGACTCTAAATTGTCCGTAGGTATGAATGTGCGTGTGAATGGTTGTCTGTCTCTATGTGTCAGCCCTGGGATAGTCTGGCGACCTGACCAGGGTGTACCTCGCCCCTCGCCCAGTGTCAGCTGGGATAGGCTCCAGCACCCCCGTGACGAATGAATGAATAGAGAGTTGTTCATGTTTACTAATTTTTTTGGACTGTCTTTGACCGTAGGAATAACGTATGAATTTTGAAAATGGGTGAAGTTCCCCTTTAGTGAAAGCGAAGGGAGTCTCTGACTCTCTCTCAGAGAAAAATGTCTCTGTCCTAGCTTGTGCTGTCCGACAACCGTTTATCCAGTCGACTTCACACATGGTGGCTGCATTGCTGAGGACCCCAGGAAGTGCAGTGCTGAGTGCAAGCTCTTCAGATCTACGCGTCTACGAGTAGTGCATTACTACTGCCAGAAGTACACACTGTGTAGTGTACTGAAATGTGGACCCCTATTAACTGTTACACCTCTGAAAGGCATGCTGGATACAGCTCGTTCTCCGACGCTCACTCCAGTACATTCATAAACAGACGAAGACGAGATCGAGGAGAACAGAGTTGTTACAATTAACACATGTAACTTTTGAAATGAACAGCCGGGCTGTGACTTCACTGAGGCCATAAATGTTCGTGTGAGCTTTTGCACCCAAATGATGCGTATATTCTAGCACTGCTAGGGGATGCAACTATGTCATGGCAGGTTATTGCTCAGGAAGGAAGCTCAGTGTTGAATGTGAAGTAGTTTGGATGAGTGGCGCTCGAGAAGGCTGCAAGCAGCAATACTAGAGGCCAAGCAGTCTGCACGTTTTTAACGGGCACTGCACCAGTATAGACACATACCTGTGGAACTAACAAGGCAAATCTTTTATATTAATATATCTATATATAGAAAGATAATTAAATAATGTGCTGAAGAAATTAAACTGTAGCCATGTCCACAATATGCCATATAACAGTACTGTCTATCCTTATGGCTGGAGGTTTTGAATGTCCTTGAGTTTCAGGATAAATCTGCAAGTGAACGTGGCGTCTGTGGCAGCATCATCGGTGTTGTAAACAAGTCAGTGGAGCCTGGGAGCTTCATCACGGTGAACAGTACAATAAAATCTCTTTTTTCATTGAAGAATCCCTCGTCTGGCTCCCCTGGTGACTGTCAGCTGCGAGGATGCAGAGACTGCTGTATCAAGTTTTTAAGTGTATTGGATGCTATTCACTCTTGTCCATCTCTGTCAGTACGCAGTAGCAGGTGTACTGGGTGAGGTGAGTGAGAGAACCTGCGGTAAGAGACGACGACAACGTGTTAGCCTGCTGAATCCAGCTGTTGAGAGAGTGTAACAAGTGGATGCAGAAATAACAGGTGTGCCTTTTGTCAAAGGGTGTTAGTTTAGTGGTAAACTCACGCAGCAACTTGGTGATGATAGGCGGCCGTTTGGACTCTGGTAAATGGACACCCAGGAAGTAGACAGGAACGCCTGACAGTGCAATGGCGATGCCAATCAGGGAGTTGATGTTGTCGCTGTAGAGAGGTACTGCCACCAAGAAAACAGCACATAGGCAGAACACCACCGGGTACAATAAAGACAACTGTAAAAAGAGAAATCAAGAGGCAGACTGTGAGCTGTAAACACAACAAAAAACTTTGTATTGTTGTGTGTAATTTGCTTTTATGACATGTAATAATTCTTAATATCATTTTTTCCCTATTCAGTTAAACAAACCAACAAAAAAACCTAAAGAAAAAAATCTTGCAGTTGTTATAAACTATAAATGACTGCAATATTTTCATTTAAATTTAATGGCACTTTGATGTTCAAATATTGAGCTTTTTCTGTCTGTTTACAATACAGAGCTTATCCACAATCATCATCTTACCCAGTATGAACATAGAAATAACTGAATTTTTTACATGTTCTATCATAATTAAATTAATTCATCAATTCAGTGGTATATTTAAAGGGATCTGGAAGGATACGTGTGCAATATTTGTTTGAGTTTGCTGGAGGAAATATATTTATTTCTATGTGACACAGGGAAGCTAAAATATGACTATTCTTGATAACATTTATTCAGCACAGAATTTACTCAGACTACTGTAACTATGACCCAGACCTGGATAAATGGCAGAAAAAAAGAGGAATAAATGGACGGGTGCGCAAGATTTACACAAGTGTGTTTAAGTGGTCTCACCTTGAGCGGTCTGGGTCTGTCGGGCTCTTTCCAGCGGAGGTAGATCTGGCCGGCGATGGACAGACCCATAAAGAACCAGTAGCTAAAGCTGTAGTAGTTGATGAGTTGGAAGACGTCTTCCACTGTCAGGTAGATCAGAGACATGATACACTGGACAGAGGAGGAAAGAGAGAATGAAGACAGTAAGTAAAAACAAAAACAGATGTGACTGAATATACACTGAGATATAGATAGAGATTACATTATTATCACCTCTACTTTATCTGCCTAAGTTGGGTAACTTTTATATTTATTAACAGGCAAAGAACTGACAGCTACTTCTAGTTTCCATTACCACCAGAATCTTGTTAATGGAGAAGGTGTTTGGCATAGAAGTTAATTAAAAACATATATGAAGTTCCAACTTCAAATCAACACATACAGTGAAGGAGACTAGTAAACTAGTGAGACTAGACTTTATAGTAAACTACCACTAAGTTTAAGTACTCTGTACTTGTCCTCAATAATGTACAAGTAATGATCTATTTTCATACATTGAAGATCAGAGCAGGGATCGGAGTGAATCTCTGAATGTGGATCATAGACAGAGCGTCTGGAAGGTGACCCTCACGAGAGCCCACAAAGAACAACCTGGACACAACAGATGGGAATTAAGTTGGATAACGCTTAAAAAAAAAACAAAACAATTTTTAAATAACCAGTGCAGATTTTTGCAGTTGCAATTGGTGTGTGTCGTGTGTGTGTGTGTGTGTGTGTGTGTGTTCTACCTGGATGCAGCTATAATGGAGGCATTGAGGCCTCCATAGCAGGACAGAGCCACAGCAATAGGGATGGTCCAGCTCATCACACCAAGAGTGTGATCTGCAAATGTCTGAAGCAGATGCAGAAACTGGTTTAGTAAATGCAGTTTGAACTTGTGCACATGCATCAGTCAATTAGTTTACTCACCACTGCCACTGCATCACTGGCCAGTATAGCACTGACATCCAGAACAGCATAGTAGGCCACATTGGTGAGGATGTAGATGATAGTGACGATGGGCATAGAGACGCCGATGGCCAGGGGCAGGTTCCTGGAACGACAGGACATTGGATCATTACCAGGTTGATTCAAGTATTCTGACTTGCCTCTGTTCAGCCTCTCTACTGAAAAGCAAACAAAAGCAAAAGTTACCTTTCAGGGTTTTTGATCTCCTCAGTAACAAAGTTGAGGGTGTCCCAGCCAGAATAGGAGAAAAGAGCAGAGTAGAGTGCCAGCGCGATGTCACCAGGGTCTGTAGACGATCCCTGAAAGGATGCTTCAAAGTTGGTTGTGTAACCTAAAGAGAGAGAGACACAGAGAAAGAACAATCAAAGGAACAATCTGTGAAATGTTTTTGCATTTATGTACAAAATGATCAGTCCTTATTCCTCTGTCCATGACTGCTAAGATTTCAAACTTTCTACAAAGTAGGGCTGTCCTGGCACTTTTGAAAATCATGGCCTAGAGGAACAATGTGAAAAGGTAAGTATGGTAGCAACCCTACTCACCCTGGCACAGTTTGACAATGCCAGTAATGATAATGACAATGAGGGCAGCCACCTTGGCATAGGTGAAAATATCTTGCACTCGGGTCCCCCACTTTACATATGCAGAGTTGATGAATGTCAGTAAGCCTGGGGAGACAGGAACATTTCACAGAGGTTCTGTTGCTTCTACTCCGGCAGGAACAGTTAGACAGGCATGAGTAAACAGCAGTCGTACACAAAGTAGATCTACTTACATATACACGCTGCAGCGATGAGCCTGGCTGCTGCATATGGTGGTTCACATGTTGGAAAGAGTGGCTGCACCAGGTAGTTTGCAAATGTAATGGCTATGACCGCTTGGCTGGTGGGCTCAATAATCAATAAAGATGTCCACAGACGAATGAATGCTATGAAACCACCGAATGACTCCAGGATGTATGCATAAGACGCCCCTGATTTGGTGATGGTGGTGCCCAGCTCAGCGTAGCAGAGGGCCCCCACCACAGAGAACAGTCCCCCAATGACCCAGATGACTAGCGACAGCCCGTAAGAGGCACTGTAGATGAGCACACCCTTGGGGGAGACGAAGATGCCAGAGCCGATCATGTTTCCTACGATCAGGCTGACTCCATTGAGCAGTGAGATCTCCTTCTTAAGCTGCATGCTTTCTTTGGGTGGCTCTGAAAGATGGGGAGAGTGGCCCGCACTGCCGTTCATCTTCTTCGATTCTTCATGGTCGGCCATGGTGCCGCTGTCTCAGGGCTGAACCAGCAGGAACTGAGGACTGGCTGTGGACACTACAGAACCTTGTCCCTTTCTGGCAACCTCTGGAACAACCTGTACAAAAGATTCAGACGTAACAAGTTATTGATGGTGACGTAAAGAGGAGGTCAATGCTAAATGGTGAGTCAGGAGTGTCTTACAGCTGGTATTTTCATCTCTAATGTGTCAAACACTGGTAAAAGAAAGGTCATGACATGAGTGCAGAGTAGGCAGGGAAACAGAAGAGAGGTTTGATGAACAGATAAGAAAAAGGGTGGTGAAAGTGGAAACATTATCAGCAGAGGTAGGAAGGTGGAGAAACATAACATCATGCATCATTAATGTCCCATGATGCCGAAGGTGATTCAGCAGGCCAGTGCTCATCATTAATCATCAACTACACAGCCAAGCTCAGCTCTTTAGTCATGTCATATGACAGAATCTGCATTCTTAGAAACACCCAACAGGAATGAGATACAAAAAAGAAAAGAAAAGGACATTCTTACAAAAATGTTCGTCCATTCCTAAACGTACAGTTCACCCCGGAATCTAAAGTATATATCTCTCCTCTTACCTGTATTGCTCTTTATCAATCAGATCGTTTTGGTGTGAGTTGCCAAGTTTTGGAGGTATTGGCCATAAAGATGTTTGCCTTCTCTCAAACAATGTCTCATGACATGGTTACTCAAGATAATCCACAGACCTTGTGAGCAGTTTCATGTAGGAGCTCTCTTCTTTCTACCAGACTCCACTCGCCAGTTGTATAACTGCGCAGTAAGAAAGGTGGATCTAAGTTAAATACTGCTAGATCACCTGAGCTAGCTGATGGTAAAGCTCAGCCAAGGAGAACACCATAATGTTTACATCTCACGCTGTCACAAGCATAAGCACGGTGACACAGTTGGTGGGTGTAGATTGAAGGAAAGAAAATAGTGCCTATGTGAAACTGCTCACAATAAGGTCTGTGGATTATCTTGAGTAACTGGGTCATGATTTCTATAAAGACACATTGCTGTTGAGTTTGGCAAATGTATCTTTTTGGCGCTTTGAGCACCACAAGCAAAGTGCCATCTAGTTCGATTATATTCAAGAGAAGGCTGACATCTCTACGGCAGATATCTCCAATACTCTGCAACTCACACCAAAACAACCTAGACTGATAAAGAGCACTACAGGTAAGAGAAAAAAATGTGTATTATTGCTTTTGGGGTGAACTGTCCCTTTAAATATGACAGGAAATCCCTGTTGGTCACACACCAGCAGTCCCAGGTAGTTAAAAAGACACATGCAAAACATTTATCCTGTCACTTCAATAGCAAGAGCGAAGTCATGAGGTCCTCCTGCCTCATACCACGCACACAAAAACAAGACATCACGATAGAATGCTGAACCATTTTATGTTTACTGTGTAGACACATAATAAATTACTGTATGTTATATGGAACAAAATAGTGAAATGGCATCATTTCAGAACACGATCTAACCTATCTCCAAGCCGGCCTGAGAGAGAACAAGTGGCATATAGATGAGAGAGGAGCAGGTCAGAATAGCAGGGGTCGTGCCGTGACAATGTAGGTGTGGAATGCACAATTTACAGGACAGTAACATAACTATAAATCGGACGGAGGGGTCAGTTTTCGCAAAGAGCTGGTGCTTGTTTGTTGGGTCTCTGCACATGAGGGGTGCATGCTTCACTTCAATCATTAGACATCTGTTCAACACGCACAAACTCACCACCACACCACCTGCTGACAATAACAGACCAATCAATGAGTCAAACAACCACACTGCTGTGAACCCGAATGTCATTACTCAACAACAGACACTTTCCCACACACAGATCGACACAAAGAAGTATCCTCCTGCAAGTCAGAGCACAGCTCGATTCATGCTAGGAGCTAAATGTGTTAAGTGGTGTGAACAATCCCGAAGAAGACGTAACAAAGGTGTGGTGTATGATAAACCTTGTGATACCTCAACTACAGCTAGAAATACATTGCTGAAAGGATTGACATTCAACACTGTTATGATTTTATAACTCTGGTGCAACCATGTGACATGTCACCATGATAGATTCCCTAATATGCTTACAGGATCAGTCACTGTTGCTACCTTGAGGCTACAAAAATCTGCAATGCTCTGTATATGATTTTATTGTCCTGGGTTTAGCCTAAACTCTTTGCCACATGTCATCCTCCTCTCTCCATCAGGTTTTCTCTATTTTCTAATAAAGGCTTGGAAGTACCTATAATAACCCTAAGAGACAAACAACGAGTAAATACAGAGTAAATCATTTTCCAGTGCAATAAAAGGTCAACACTGTGGAGGAGCCTTGTGTCTTTGGACTCCTTTGAGCAACGTCTCCTTCTCACATAAACTGAGAAATCCAACCAGCAGTACGAGCAGCTTGCTTGCTGCTGCGCTAGCTGGCTGAGATCATTTCAAAGCTAATAATTCATCTTACATTTAGTGCTGAAGCAAACGGTTAGTAACCAACAGTCAATTTATCTGCAGCTATTTAAAGAATCGGTTAATTGTTGAAGTTTTTTATCAAGCAAAAATGTCAAACATTCTGCGGTATCAGATTCTGTAATGTAAGGATTCTGCTTTGCTCTATTTCCTTTATCATTGGAAACTGAGTATCACTGGGTTCTGGACTCGGTAAATAAGAAACAAGCTTTTGAATTACATATTTATGAGCTGCTGGGAATTGTGACAGACATTTTTTACCATTTTCCTTCAATTTATAGACCAAACAATTAATCAGTTAATGGAGAAAATAATCAGCACATTAATCAGAGATGGAAATAATCATTGGCTGCAGCCCAATTTACACTGATCATTTCTGCAGCTTTATCATTCTCAACTGAGTGTGTGAGTGTGTGTGTGTGTGTGTGTGTGTGTGTGTGTGTGTGAGTATTTATACTATGCTTCTGTCTAAGACAGCAGGCTCACTATCATGTGTGACTGCTCGCCACATGAGCTTTGTTTTCAATTTATTGAGTAACAGGAGACAGACCCAGTGCTGGGGGAGCTACAGTCAAATAAACATGACGGGAAGCTCCTGATAATGAGAATTATTTACCTTCTTCTTTCACAATCTGTGACATAGGCCACAACAGGACGTTTTCCACCTATGGTCCCTTGTGGCCATATTTTGTATGTTTTTGTACTTTGTCTGTTTGTTTGTTTGTTTGACTGAGATAATTGAAATTAAGCTAAAATCCATATCTAACCCTTGGTATTCTTTTTTCAAAAACAAAATGACACTGATAAGAATCAAAACGGCCAGTGACACATTTCAGCTAAGATAAATTGTAAGAGTTGACATTCACAGTATTTGTGAAGTAATTAAGTGGATACGGCCAATCGTATTCTAATAAGCATCTTATGTCACGCCCCTCTACAAATGGCACAGACTCACGTTTACCACAATATTATGCCGAACAGGTGGATAAATCATTACAACGAATAAAGGGTACTGATGACTTCCCTGCTGCGACCATAGCTCTGATGACCTCAACCAGTTTTGGATAATCTCATTTCAGTTTTGATGATGGTGCAGTAGGGAGCAGTCTATTCACTGTTGTGACGTCACACTGGAAAACCCAAGCGCGCTACGAAAAATTAAAACACGATCATTAAAAATCATCTTACCGCAACAAAGCACCGGGCCGGTGTTTTCTTGTTTTAATTGCCGGTGTGTCAAGCGACATGATATCACTACACCCAACTTCCGCTTATGACTTTCAAAATGAAGCCACAATTAAATTGTCGCAACTTAGCGTAAGTTTTGTGTCTGTCTCCTACTGCTTTTTACTGAATATAACGAGTCAAATTTTGACCAAAGCCCACGTATGTCACATTACACACGGGCTTTACGAGACACGAGGCATAAGGAGGGGGCAAATCATAGAGAGAGCCCTGTCACTCGGTTAACGTTAGCTGGCGTGCAATGACAAAACAATGAGAAAATATATATGTATTTGCTGTTCTTAAATAGCCAAATATAAGTCTAATAAAGGGCAAAATGCGCTCTTAATAACAACAGGCCAATTTCCTGCAACAATTTTAACAATGAATGAACATTAGCGTTACTAGCTAGCCTACATTATTGCTAACATTAGCGTATTCTTTCATTAAGTTAAAGTTAACGTTACTCCCTCACTGCGTATCATTGTGGCATTGAATCCTACTACGGCAACCAAGACGAAAAATGTCTGCGCTCTCCTCCCTTAAAAAATTCAAAGGTACGAACGCTGTCACAAAATACACAAAGTAAGGTGATAAATTCAACATGTTGGCTTTCATTTTGAATGTGACCCTCTGTACCTCCGGTAGCATCTCGGCTGTCTGCGGTTAGCTTGCCGCGACTCCAAACAGACGGGACTTCCCTTTTGTCCCAGTGCTTTATCTAAATTCAGGTAGCTCTGTCTTCGGCGAAGACGCAGACATTGTCCCGTTTTAACAGGAACTATTCCTGCTCAGCGGCAACACTCACAGGAATTTATCACTCTTACCTGTGCTGCTTTCCCTCCTGCCGAGCTAGCTCTTTTGACAGCCAGCCAACACGATGTTCATCCGCAAATACATCAGTACCCGTAAACAACTGCTGCTGCTGCTCACAGGAGACGTCATGTGACCCCGCTATACTATAGGAGCATCAGGAGGAGCACAGTGTGCACACACAAGTGTTAGGATGCATTTCACAACATTTAGTCCGTGTCTGACAAACGTTTTTATGTCATTTAGTCAAATTTTTTTAGTATTCTTATTTTTTTGTGAGTAATACTGTTTCCAGGGCAACACTGCAGTCAAGGAAGCCATTATTATCTGAGATGTTATTTATCATATTTAATCATATCTTAATTAAGGATGTATAAAAAAGAGTATCAGTTACACAGAAAGCTTTATCATGATAAAAATCTTGAACTATTTTGGCATAGAAAATCAAATCATACCATACTGTACTGAAAGTCAACATGGAAGTTTTTATCACCATGCTGTTGTTATTGGCTGATTTGCCATTTCCCTTGTCCATTTCTGTGCATTACATTAAAACAGACAGTCCCATGACACACTGCTGGTGTGTGAAGAATGGACATGTAATTAGAGCAGCCCTGCTAAGGGCATAGGGCAGAGGGGATGGGCCTCAGAACAGTATGTGCCATTATCATGTAAGTGAAGTGACAGGGATGGGAACACACATTAAGCCAAGACAGAATTTTTCAAAGCTTAATCTGTGTATAGGAGCCATTTGTATTAATATGTTTAAATGCATAAAGAGAAAGGATTTACTGGAAGGTTTCCCACCTTACACCTTGGCAATAAAAAGGTGGTAGAAGACAATTAAGTAGGGTCTTTGAAGAGGGAACACAAAGCCAAACTGACTCATTGCAGTTCTGAGTATTTAATGCTTATCTTAAGATAAAATGTCTTTTATTTTGTTGCTCTAGTTTTAGTTTATCTTATTTACAGTTATGAGGAAGATGACATTACATCACAGAAAACCATGTATGATACAACAAAGGCTTATTTCCATTGTGGCCCTTGATGTAAAGAGAACAATGATGCAGGATTTCAGGTTAGGTGACATGTTACAAACAAACCTAGAGAACATTTACCAAAACTCTAATCTTTGGAAGACAAACAGGCCACTGAGCAGACTGAGAAGAGTGCCACCTGCAGACAGCTACACACCACTGCAACTACTAGCACCAGTGATGTGGACTGAATGAACAGTGCAGCACTGTACAGTGTAATGTTTTTATGTATACATATTACTTTTGTGCTCATATTGGTGGCATAGATGCCTTGTGATCTACCTTATTCTTTAAAAGTAGACCTCTGGGTCTGGTTTGACGCCAACTTCACACTTTGACCTGGCATGTCTGAAACTGGTTGGCAGTTTAGATAAAAATCATGGAAGAGGGTTTAAAAAAAGAAGCATTTCTGGTGATTGTTTGGCGAGCTTCTTGTGAGACAACACTTAGCATTATTACAGATTATTAGGAGGAAATAAACCCATAAACATGGTGGCAGAGACATTGAGAATTTTGATGGTGAACAAGCAGCATGTTTGTGAAGAGAACCAGAAATCTAAAACCTCCAGGGAGGAAACACACAGGCACAGATAAGAAGGAGGGACGACTGAGCAGGAAAACAGTGAGTCTCCAATGTGCTTACATTGCACTGGTGCACACTCAGTTTCAGAGACACAAACAGCCATTACTTCCTTTTAAGCAAAGATTTTTTATTAATACTATGTAAATCCATAAAAACACAACTATACACAGTCATTTCAGTGACATAACATTTCACCTTAGAAAATAAAAAAGTGCAAATATCACAGCATTTAAAACTCACTGGTGGGTTCTGCTTGAGATGAAAGAAATGTCATATTCACTAAAATTATATATACAGGAATCTGAAATTTCAGTTTGAAAGCTGACCACATTCTGCCAACCACATATATTAATTCAGTTTAAATTTGGTCCATTTGAAGAGGAAGACCTGATAATTATTGTATTTTATATGTATTATTTTGACTTTAGCTCTGTATGCAGTCTGGGGCAAAGTTATTATAAAACATTAAGCTATTATTTACACACATACTGTATGTCTTTTATTATGCACACCAGAACAATACAAAAGACGAGTCACTAAGCTTCTATAAATTCAGTTTTTTAAAAGACTGCAAATCTAAAGTGCTAAGAAGACTTAAAATAAGCTATTAAACAAATGCTTACACGTGACATACAAAATAAAAAGCTTATCTAAGGTTCAAAGAGAGCTTCACTTATAATATAGGCTATCATTTTTTCTTTGCAGACAACATAATGAAAATCACAGCACAGTAATCATTTACATCCCCATGTTTCTCTGTCTGGATGTAAAGCTTAACTTTATCCAGTTTACAATATATAATCTCAAACACATTTTTCCCTTCTTTAACTAGACCCAGTCTAGGTATTCTACAAACACAGGCTCCAGGCCTGTTTTATGAGTTCCTGAGTGATGGTGTCAATTCTTCTTCACTGTCCCAGAGAAGAAGAATCAAGTAATCAAGTATCTTTTCCTTAACCATATTTTGACTGCAAAGTGTACGTTGTTGATTAAAATACTTCCAGCAGAGTGTTGATTATATTTAGCTAGTCTCCAATAGAGGTCTTCACGGGTCTACCCCGACCCTAAGACACGAGACCCATAAAGGTTAGGGTCCACATTTGGCTCTAGGTCGGGTCCCATTAAATTACCATGGGTCTGTTTACCATTATGTGCAATACCTGAGTGGATCCGAGATGAACGCATAGGCTAAATGCTGTGTGTGTAACTTCAGTGATAATAAGGCTGATTTAGGATCAGATTACAAGAGCGAAAGTAAGGTGAAAAAAGCACTGAGCAACAGCGTCACTGAGTTGGCGATGGAGCGGAGAAAAGATGGATAGCCTAACAATATTCCTAACTTGAATTGATTACATGAAAAAGTGTTTTGACTGGTGGACCCTTAAAGACTAAAGGAAAATAAATAATTGAGGAATGGACACATATTCGGACTTTCTCTTGTTTACCATACTGGTAAATTTGAATAAATTATACTTCGGTGCTCATAGTTTCCCTAAAATTAACTGAACGATTGAATTGTGGAGAATCTAACCAAGCTAACGACGTGTAACATGTCTGTTTACATGTCACTAAAATTTCAACATTTATATTTGTACGTGCTATCAAAACGCTTATCAAAACTGCGAACAACTACCGTAAATTGTTCCAAGCAGGTGTAGCAGCTCACATCACAGCAATAACAACAACAAAAATGTGAAAATTGAATAAATAAAATAAAAACAGAAATTTGAAAAATTATTAAACATTATTTCCAGTGAGATGCCCAAGAACAGTAGCCTATGTTGTAGGCCTATCTGACATGAAAAACGTTTTTAGAAACAGAATGGCATGGAACGGTTGCAAATTTAATTACTGGGTTTGTAGCATCCATAAAATAAACCTGAGATCCGTCAGACCGCTCTCCTCTCTGACATGCACCGGTCTTGGGCAAAAACGTGTCAGGTAAATACGTTTTTCCAACCTGATGATTTTCATCAGGTTGGATCTTAGAATGAATTTCCTGTGTCTTTTAAGGTTCGGGTCCGTCATCTGGGACCCGTGAAGACCTTTAATCTCCATTCATGTGCTTTACACTTTTGTTTGTTATACCAGAGGACACCAGGAGCATTAGAGGCACAGTATGTATGGAAAGCTTGCTCACTGCTTTTTGGAGTCACTCTTCACTCCGCTCAGCTTTTCCAGCAGTTACCACACCTGACAGCTGAATTTTACCTGAAGAAACAGTGACTCTACAGTGTAGCAGCGGTGGAACGGTCTCCATTCTGTCATTTACTTTGATAAGAAGACCGTATTTTTACATAAAAAAAACTTGACTGCAGCAGCTTTGATTTGCTTTATGTGCCATGTTTTTTTTTTTTTTTATGAAGTCTATCTAACTCTTCTCCTGGGCCTGTAGCATGTGTTGCCTGGTGGACCCAGTGCTGGTGCTGCCTAGAGAGGAGCCATCAGCCTGTTTCCGCATCCGGTCCAGCGTGAAGAACCGTAGCATCAGCAGGAACCCTGGGAGAACAGATCCAGAACAGGTTTGGCTTTATTAGCTGTCACAAGATGTTAGTACATGTATCCTAAAATGAAAAGCATTTGCTCTGTTGATAATGGAAATGTTTGCCTGCCAGGTATCTCTGGTTTCAGTCCAGAGTTAATCAAATAAGAACCAATTTTTTGTTTTTAAACTTTTTACTTATTGTTTTTGTTGTTTCATAGAACCAAGTTTACGAGACTTATTAATATGAGACAAAATAATGTGACAAAAATAATTATTGCTAACAAAGACCACCTATATATTCTATACAGTACACGTCTATCTGCTATCTATACACTACTCACAAGTTTCTGTAGACATTGCGCAGAAGACAACGTGCTGCTTTGATCAGATTTACTTTTAGACAAAGGCTAGTGTTATTTCACTGTGATAAATAATCTGTGTTTCTGTGGGACCACATCAATTTATTTGGAAGCTGATCTTTTTCAGATCTGCTTTTCTTATTTTTCTATGGAAAGTACTTAATGTCTCATCATTGTATCTGTGAAGATTAAGTTTAAAGAAATCATTAGACATAAAGATCAATGTCCCTCTATCTAACCATATATGTCCTTCAAATCTGTCAGATGAAGCTACCGCTCAGCCAAGACATAGTCCAGCACATAACCCCATAAAACCACAACTTGTCATTATGCATTTTGGTTTTTGTAGAGAGGAACACAATGTGTGAGTTTAAGATGGGCTGGCAGGTGGATTTTGTTTTGTTTGGACAAAGCCGGGCAAGCTGTTTCCCCTGTTACCAGTCATTATGCTAAGCTAAGCTAACCGGCCCCTGGCTGCACTTTCATATTTACTGTACAGACATGAGAGATGTCTATTTCCCAAATGTCTAAGTACTTCTTTACATGTTTGGTGTGCATAAGTCAGCATACAATACAAATTCCATCCTCAATAAAACTCAAATGGAACAGCTGTTATAAGAGGGCCATGCACAGTGTGCATAGACC